GTTTAGGGCCAATCTAATCTCAGGTGGAATAGGGCTTTATAAGGTACAACCAACACTTCGAATTGCACTTGGAAGGCTATTGGGAGAAAGTGCAGTTTGCAGAGCAAGGAAACAACATGGGTGCAGAGTTATACCCCAGAATTTCTTGCCTCACTGCATTCTGGACCAACTGCAGCTTTTGGATGTTCTTCAGGGGCAGCTCCATGTAGCATGCATTGCAGTAATCCACTTGGGAGGTGACTAAAGGATGAATGACCATGCACAGTGCCTCCTGATCTATAGACGGTGCTTCAAAACCGCTCTCACTCTGAATTAGTTACATGGGTGAAATAATTTTTAAAAAACCCTGTTGTAATCATAATTCACTGCATCATATACAGACAAGTGTTGGTTGCTAAAATCCTTCCAGATGATCTGTGTGATTCACTGAATTTGGCCATCAAAGTTATACATTTTGTGAGTGGCACTTTAAATACAAGACTTTTTGCAGCTGCTTATATGGATTTGAGAGCAGATCATAAAATATTTTTGTTTCACACAGAGGTACAACAGCTTTCCAAAGGAATGCTTTTGGGATTATTTGAGCTAAAGGATGAAGTAGAATTTGTCCTCAAGCAACATAAGGAACTGGGGTTATATTTTGCATTTGCAGTCCAGACGTTCCAATTTTCACTGGCACATTTGGTGGAGTTTTGATTCTCTGAACAACCTCAGTTTAAAGCTGCCAAAAAACAATTATATTACCATGCCATTAAAGCATTCACAGAAAAAAATTGCACTCTGAAACATTGGAAACAAGCTGAGAAGCCTAACTTTTTATCTTTTTCAACATTTTCATCACTCGCTGAAAATGAAGGTTACATTGGACATTGTAAAGAGGATGGGAAGAACAAAATTGCACTTCAACTCAACTGTCTTCCAGTTGCATTCATCCACTATTTTCCAAACAACTTTTTTGGCAACACTATTCATAAATTAGTATGCAATCTCTTCAGTGTTGATGTCGATGCGTTGCCAGACATATTACAAGAACAAGTACTCAGTATAAATCATAATTTGACTGGAAAAGATAATTTTGAAAATTCAAGCTTGGAGGAATTTTGGATAAAATATTTCCTAATTTGGATGAAAGAGACAAAGTGGTATGTCTCATTATTTCATTTTCTTCCATTAAAAACTTTGTTTTTAAAAGAAAAATGAAACAAAGGAATGAAAATCTTTCCCATTAAATTTATTCTATTCCTGATATTTTTAAATGTTACATTATTTGTTATAAGAAAAACTATTTGTACTTATTTTTAATGAAAACAAAAAATATGTATCAAGTGTGTGTTTTTATTTTTATTTTTAATTATGAATGGATTTTTGTTGTTGTTAAAGGGATTGGCTTAAATGAAAGCTTA